AATCTATCTATGTTTAAAGCAATTACTGATGGTGAAGCACTTTTGCCATTTTGTTAGTAGTTTTCTGTGTATCTGAAAGCTTTTGTGCCTCTTGTTTCTTCTGTTGCTGTCTTCCTCTGGGTTTAATTGATTTTTTTTTTATAGCATTTTGGATTCCCTTCTTATTTCCTTCTTTCTGGTTCTATAGATATTTTCTCTGCCATTATCATGAGAATTACAAATGATATTCATTCTTTCTTAATTGGTACTAATTTAACTCCAATAACTTAAAAAAAAAAACCTGTACTTCTTTGCCTAATTTATGTGACTGATGACACAAGTTACATTTTTTATATTGTGCATCAATTAACATAAACTTATAATTATTTTTATGCATTTTTTTAAATGCTGTGGGAAACAAAAAGCAAAGTTACAAATCAAAATTAAAATAATACTGTTTTTTATATTTGTCCAGTATTTGCCTTTACCAGAGAACTTTGTATTTTATGTGACTTCTAGTTACTAAACTAGCGTATCTTTACTTCTGCTTGAAGGACTTGCATTAGCACTTAATATAGGGAGGGTCTAGTGGTAGTGATCTCCTAGCTTTTGTTTGGGAATGTTTTAATTTCTCCCTTATTTTCAAAGGGTAATTATTTTGAAAATCGGATTCTAGGTCTGTAGATTTTTCTTTCAGTAGTTTAAATGTATCTTCCCAAACTATCTTCCATCCTGAAAGGTTTCTGCAGAGAGCTATGCTGACAATCTTACTGGAAGCCGGGTATGGGCTCATGTCTGTAGTTCGCTCTTCTCGGGAGGCTGGGGCGGAGGACCTCCTGAGCCCAGGAGGCTGAGCCTGAAGTGAGTGATGATTATGCACTGCACTCTAGGCTGGGCAACAGAGCAAGATTCTGTCTCTAAAAGAAAAAAAAAAGACGTATTGGGGAATCCCTGTGAGTTTTTGATGCCTAGAATTTTATTTTTCTTTCTCTTCCTAAAATGTAGCAGAATTAAGTCAATTTAATGTTCTTTAAAGGTTTGACAATAGTTTAGCTATTATATCATTTGATAACTTTTGTTTTTATTCCATTTAGCTAATATTACTATAATATTGCCAGTGGAATCAATTATCTGATATCACAATAATGCTAAAGTGAGAAATAAATAAATAAAATCCCAGCCCCTCAGTGCCATTTGATATTAAGCAGCTATTGCTCACACCTGTGGGAATCAGACAGGCGTTGGTTAGGAGCACTGCTCCTGGGTTCACCGCATGTCTGGCTGTTGATTGACAGTCAGCAGAGTAACTAGTGACTATAATACTCAGAAACTTTACTCTTTTAAACTTGTTTCTTGTTCTCTTATCTGCTAGCAGCCCAGAGCAGGGTTGTATTTATGATGATGAGGGAGGTGACGGAATTCAAGCATTACATGTCCTAAGGTTCTATTTGGTGGATAAGCCCTATGTTTATGTCAACATAAAGGAGTGGGGCAAATCACCCCACTTGTGATTTAAATCAAAGTAGCAAAGCAAATGTCATAGATTCAGGAATGAGTAAGAAACTGGAGTCATCACTGTAATATAACACAGTAGCCTACTTATTCTTTATGTAGACTATTCTTTTCCATTTATTCAAAATTTCTATGTGCTTCTTCTATTTTTTTGTAAAAGTAGATTTTATTTTTGCTTTCTAATACGCAAGATTTATACAAGTTCATCACTTTTCACATCTCATGTATATTTTTTCTCCAGTGTAATTTTATCATTTCATCATATGGTTTTGCTCTATATTTCCATTTATTACTTCCTTTTGGCTTTTGCTTATATACAATATTTAATGTAGTTTTATATTTTTACTGTATAGATTTTTATGTATGTATGTATTTATTTATTTTGGAGACAGAGCCTCAAGCTGTCCCCCTGGGTAGAGTGCCGTAGCATCACAGCTCACAGCAACCTTGAACTCCTGGGCTCAAGCAAGTCTCTTGCCTCAGCCTCCCAAGTAGCTGGGACCAGAGGCACCCGCCACAACGCCCGGCTATTTTTTGGTTGCATTCATCATTGTTGTTCGGCAGGCCGGGCTGCATTTGAACCCGCCACCTTAGGTGTATGTGGCTGGTGCCTTAGCCACTTGAGCCACAGGCGCCAAGCCACTGTATAGATTTTTATGTGTACTATTTTACATAGTGCAACAGTTTCAGGGTTTTTTTTATTTAATAACATTTTAATTTAATGACATTTCAGGTTTTTAATATCTCTGTGAGCCCATACTTATCCAAAAAATTAAAATATTGTAAATCCCTCAGTTGAGGAATTTTAATACCATGCTTACTTACTTCCTCTCTATTCCTTTAATCGAGATTCCCATCTTATTCGTGTAATTTGGACATACTACAGAAGAATAACTTTGGATATTGTACTTTTGTATTCCCCGGTGTCCAATTTGTTTACATGATCAGTTTCTTTGTATTTTATTTTTGACACAGCGTCTCAAGCTGTCACCCTGGGTAGAATGCCATGGTGTCATAGGTCACAGCAACCTCCAACTTGGGCTCAAGTGATCCTCTTGCCTCCATTTTTCTATTTTTAGTAGAGAAAGGCTCTTTTGGTTTTCCTCAGGCTGGTCTCAAATTCGTGAGTTCAAGCAATCCACTGGCCTTGGCCTTGCAGAGTGCTAGGATTATAGGAGGGAGCCACTGTGTGGGGCCTCCATGATTAGTTTCAATATTTTTATCTTGTGAGTTTTTCTGGATCTTGTCTTCAATAAATCTAACATTCATTTAATAATGACAATGTTAGGAACTGTACTATGTTATTTATCTGTGGTGCACTACAGGAAAAACAGAAAATTATTAGCGGCAAACCATTCCACTGATAACCATTCATTACGCCTTTGTCTGATGTTTTGTTTTAGAAGAAAAATTTAAAATCGTCAGCTTTATTTCTTCCTACAAATAGAGATTTGTAACTTGGATTTTCTGCCTTGATATTTTTAGGATATTTTTCTCTTTCATGGAAATCCAAACGAGTTTCTAGGAAGTATCTTGGTGAGTCTGATTATCTGATTTTCTCTAGGTTCTGATGAGCACTTTTCATTTGCAAACCCTGGTACGCAGTGATTTCCTTACCTGTGGTAGCTGCTGCCTGCCCTCCCCTCGCTAAATCACCTCCCCAAGAATGGGAATCATTTTTAATTTAAATCATTTATCCCCGTTGCATATTTATGTTTCCCTTTATTATTTTAATCTTTCCTCATTTCTTGCTATAAGTAGATATTTCCATTAGTTATTGCATTTATTATGTGAATTTTTATTCTGCAATTGCGTTTTTACTGTTTGTGAATTAGAATATTTCATTATTGTATTTTTCATCTGATTTTGTAGTTTTCTTTTGGGTGATGTTTGGAGGTATTGATTACATTTGGCCTTTGTTCAAGTTCCATTTGGTGGGAAGATGGATGCACATGGTTTCCTACACAATTTGCACAGTATTACAAGTATTTCTATTGCTCTGTAGTTTGATATGTGTCTCCTCACCACTCCCTCCTCCTATGCTGTTTAGAACAAATAATTTGTCCACGTATCTCTCAGCTTTTGTCCTGGGGATGAGTGAAGGTCATACCTCTCCTTCATTGCCTTCCTCCTTTTTCTTCTTCTAAATAATTCTAACAACATTGTACACATACTTGAAAACTAAAATTATTGTAAGTAATCCATTTTATCTCCAGTGATAAAATAATATATATATATTTTTCTTTTTTTGCTCTGTTGTTCTTGGGATAGATTCTTAGGAGTTGAATTACTGAGATGAAGTGTACTAATACTTTTGTGACTAATATAGATTGACAAATTACTTTCTCTAATAGTCTTATCAAATTAAGCAGCATGAGAATATGGCTTTATTAAACCAATAAAAACCTTGAGGATTATGTGCTTTCTCTGAAAAAAATATGTTTATGAAAAACCGTGAGAAATTAAAAAACACAACCATCATTTCACTGTCTAGAAATTACTATTGCTATTAATCTGGCTTGGTTATTTCAGTTTCTGCCCTCCTATTTCATACAGTTAGACAGATAAAAGATACATAATAGAACATACATGAAAGAGATTACTATAATTGTGAGAATTAAAGTGTTTTGTGCATTGTACTATTATTAATATATACATGTATAACCCCGCAGTTAATGTCTTTACATGTAATATAAAAGATTTATTTCATGAATGTAAATCCTAAACAAAATCAAGAAAAATAAATATTTGCTAGGTTGACGTGTATGTGGTATACACATACATGTAAAATTTCAAACGAGTGCTGTATCAACTTACAATCTGCACATTCATGTATATGAATATTCATTATTCACTCTTACTGGTATTATTAGAAAAACTTTTACCTTTTAAAAATTTATATGGAAACATGATAGCTTATTGTTTTTTATTTCTATCCTTTGATCACTGGTCAGGTAAAATATGATTTTTTCTAATGCTTATTTTCTGCCTCAGTGCTATTCTGTAGAATTTCCATTAAAGTTTATAATCACCTTGTCCACTTTAATTAGCATGTGTTATAATTTTGTTTTTTACAATGTTATTATTTTTATCATACCCCCTGCTATCTGAAAAACTTGTTATAATCACCATATCAACTTCTGTTAAAATTTATATTCACCTTATCTAGTTTGATTGGCATGTATTATACTTTTATTATCAACAACATTAATTATTTCCATCACACCCATTGGTATTGTATTTTATTTTGTAAACATAAAAAATTACTTAAAATTTTTAACCCATCATATTTATTTATATTTTTTGTTGTCTTTTTTTTTTTAATCACTTTCAGTTCAGAAAATCTTTTTTCCTAGTCAAGGCATTATTTTAAATTTTGTAGTTTCTCTGCCAATCATTTGGAAAGGTTAATAATATAAAATCCTCCCCACTCTCTGCATTCTTTGCAATACTAATAGGAATCAAATACTGTCCCAATATTGAGTTTAACTGACATTTTCTCATTTCAGAGAATGAAAGATCCTGCCTTGAATTTTCTCAGCTAAATGTAAAGGATTCCTTCAAAGATTTATTTAATCCAAGGATAGAAATAATTCTGATGATGTTCACAAGGAACAACCTGAACTGTGCTGAGCCACTATTCAAGCAAAATAACTCACTTAATATTAATTTCAACACACAAAAGAAGACCGTTTGGCTTATTCATGGATACCGACCCATCGGCTCCACTCCAACCTGGCTTCAGAACTTTCCGAGGATTTTGTTAAATGAAGAAGATGTGAATGTAATTGTAGTAGATTGGAACCGGGGTGCTACAACTTTCCTTTACAGTAGAGCAGTTAAAAACACCAAAAAAGTTGCTGAGAATTTGAGTAGGCACATTAAAAATCTCTTGGTAAGTCTCTAAATTTTAGCATGGTATATGGTTTGCAGTATACAGGGGGTTATGCATTGCCACGAAGTGGTAGTCAGATATATGCTTTTCCCCATATTCATTAAGAATTGCTGCTTTTGTTTACTAATGTCTTCAGCCAGCTTTTCTTTGTCTGCCTAAATGGATATAATTAGACAGGAACTGTCCTATTTAAAAAAAAAAATCTTAAAGATGCAGTTATTATGTTCTTGTAACATTTTTTAGCTATACTAATACCTCCTTCATAATGTGGTGATTCTATGTGAGCAGAGGGGATAAATTTCAGAATAGTTACATTCTTTAAATATCTTTTTAAAGCTATGACTAAATTGTTAAATATGCAAAATAAAAAAAAAACAACTTATAAAGTCATATGTTTTTGTTAACATTGGAGAAGACAGATTTCCATTCAAGTCTGCTCAGGGTTTGGATGGGTCAAGTAAGTTCAGGCCAATTAGAGGTCATCCATAGATTGAATGATTCTCTTTTACTAGATCTATGTCTAACTTAAGAGCAAGGTGGCAGTGATGGGTACTTAAGAGAAAGAAGAGTGGTATCTGATTTGGGGGCATTATTTGGCTTGCAATTTGTATTTAAGTTGTTTTGTGACGAACTTGATAACAAATCCAAGAAGTGACTGTTACATGTTGGGTCTAAGACTACATGGGCTCAGTGTCCAAGTCCATCAATCACATATGTGACTTTGAACACTTACTTGTCCACTCTGTGCTGTGATTTCTTATTTGTACATTTGAGATAACAAAATTTTATAATAATAGTTATATGAATATTTTTTATATATTTAAAAAGTAATCATATTTTGTTATTGTTCTTTGCCTGTCCATATTTGAACAAAACCATACCATCGCTACAATAAGACAGAGGAGGTAATCGATTCATCCAGTCTTTTTTTTTTTTTTTTTTTTTTGCATTTTTTCCCGGGGCTGGGTTTGAACCCACCACCTCCGGCATATGGAGCCGGTGCCCTACTCCTTTAAGCCACAGGCGCTGCCAGATTCATCCAATCTTAACCAATAGTCTGTAAATTGTATAATTGATTTTTTCCTGATGATAGTAGTCTTTTCTCTAACTCATAAACATGTACCCCAAAGCACGGAAAATCTGAAGGGTAAATGGGGGGATTTAGGAAAATTCGTAGTTATTAGATACAGTTCATATTAAGGAGAAGGAATGTAAGGATCAATCAGCAGTTTAAAGTTTGGGAACTGCTCCCTCAGTATTTGGGGCATTGTTGTGAGAAATTTGAAGAAAATTGTCACTGTGTGTCTGGAAATCCCGATGCTAGTTTTTCATTAGTAGCAATTCCCTCAATCTTTTGTAAGCCATCTGACATCTCACTGCGTAGGCTCAGCGGTGATCTGCCCGCAAGTTTTCCTTTTGCTCCTGAGAGCCTGGTGGAAGTTGTATGCCCTGATGTAGCTTCCAGTGCCACCGTTCAGAGGCTGAGAGAAGGGTGACCAAACGGTGGTCTAGGAAGATTAGATTCCAACACTCTTCACCTTGTGATTGGGGGAAATCTCTTAAAATCTTTGAACTTCATTTAATCATCTCCGAAGTGAGGATGATCATTCTACTTTTGCTCGTCTTTCTCAGTCTTCCTGAGGTTTATGAAGCAATTGATCAGGTAAAACAAGATTAGCAGATTAGCATCAAGTTCGGAGGCAAACAGACCTGGGTCTGGGTCTTAGTCTGGTTAGTCTGCCATAACAAAATACCATAGGCTGGGTACCTCACAAATAACAAAAGTTAATCTTGGTTTATAGATGGTGCCTTTCACTGTGTCCTCACAGGTTGGGAGAGTAAAAGGAGCTCCCTGGGGCCTCTTCTGTGAGGACACTAATTCCATTCATGAGGGCTCTATCCTTGTGACATAATCCTTTCACTCCCGAGAAGGCCCCACCTCTAAATACCATCACCTGGGGGTCAAGATTCCAACATATGAATTGGGGGGGGGCACAAATATTCAGACCGTAGCTCCCGAAATGCATCTTTAACCTTTATAAATATACATGGCTTTGGGCAAGTCATTAACTTCTGACACTGTTTCCTTAATAAAATAAGAATTGATGGCTATTTATTTAGCATTTAACAGGTACCAGTGACAATTTAGGCAATAAAATAAATAAGGCTAACTCATGAGACAATTGGGAATATTAAATAGGAGACTTATAAGGCACATATTGGGTAGCAGCATAGAGCAAGTACTTAGTAATGTCTATTATTCTATAAAATGCATTGCTTATTAAATGTGTTGCTTTACATAGGGCAAAAGTTGAACAAATATATAGTTGTTTTGATGACTCAAAGACTCCTTCCCTATCTTCCAGAAATGAATGAAGCCAGAAAAACAAATTTTAATATTGATGGTTGAAGCATGATTTGTGATCACTTAAAACGAAAATTGTTAACACTGCACTTTCAATTGCAGAAGCATGGAGCGTCTCTTGACAGCTTTCATTTTATAGGTGTGAGCTTAGGGGCTCATATTAGTGGATTTGTTGGAAAGATATTTCGTGGTCAACTTGGGAGAATAACAGGTAAAACTAATTTTTATAAAAACATTGTTTTAGCATGCTTTTAGTCATCATAAGTTACTTTATTTAATAAATAATTAAATTTTTTTTCCTATATTATCATATATTAGTCTTAGTTAGTTAGACTTTAAAGTCCTGTTAAGTTCCTAACAGAGCCTCCTATCTATATTTTAAGGACATGATATTATAAGAATACAGAGGACAATTCGGCCCACTAAATAGAAAATGCTTCATGTATTAGTTAAAAATTTAAATATATACCTAATTTTCACAAATTTTGATGGGTTCCAATTCTTTAAATATTTAACTTGAATGTTAGAAGAGAATCAAGAATTGTTATCCAAATTTCAGGGGTTCTAGATTCAAGTGTCTTACATATTTCCATTAAAAGTTACTGCATCCAGAAAGCTCAGCAACTGACTAACGCTAACATGGATTTGTATTCTTTCCTCTACATGTGTTAATAATTTTTTTCCTTAGTATTTGTGTATTTCTTTTCTTTTCTTTTTTTTTTTTTTATTGTTGAGCATTCATTGAGGGTACAAAGAACCAGGTTACACTGATTGCATTCGTTAGGTAAAGTCTCTTATAATTGTGTCCCATCCCCAAGAGGTGTGTCACACACTGTGACCCCCACTGCCCTCTCTCCATCCCTCTCTTTGCTCTCCTGTTCCCCTGCCCCCTCCCATGTACTAGGTCATCAATTGTCTTCATAACAGAATTGAGTACTTTGGATTCCTACTTCTCCATTCTTGTGATGCTTTACAAAGAAGAATGCATTCCACTTCCATCCAGGTTAATACAAAAGATGTAAAGTCTCCACCTTTTTTGGTAGCTGAATAGTATTCCATGATAATACTCGTCATCTCCTCTGATCTTGGAAGCTAAGCCGGGTAGAGCCTGGTTAGCACGTGGATGGGAGACATGTTAATAATTTTAGAAATAGAAGAATAATTTGCTCTCCAACCAATTTACCTTTTTTTTTCTTATCTCTGTTCATAGAAGATTTGTAGTAATTTCAAGGGTGAATAACAGGTAATACAAATCTTTAATTAAATTGCCAAAAAGGGGGGATGAAGGAGGTAAACAACATATATATGCAGAGTAAGGATCTTTGTAAACCTTAGGGATACCCTGACTTAGTCTGGTTTGTTTCTGTGTTAACCCCATCATACATATGTAAAAACTGAGGTTAACCGAAAGAATGTAGGACAGTAACCAAGCCACAGTTAAGCCAGGATTTACACAAAGGTTCTTGACAACTAAAGTGCATTCTCCCTCAAGGACCATTCTTGTTCTATATAAACTGGTGATAATCTTACTTTACTTTGAATTGTGTTTATGCAGATTAGTCTGGTACACATTACCCTGTGTACCTACCAGGCATCCTTTATGGTTTTAAAGAGCCAACAAATGTGCACATTCTACATCAGAATAATTTCCAGGAAGAGATAAGCTTCTGTCTCATTTAGTTAAGTGGGCTAAAGAAAATGGGGATAATATAAGAGATATGATAACATGAGCTAAAACACCATATTTTACTTACAAAATATCTCAATAAGATGACTTGTTTTCTTCCATTGCCTGTTTTCAAAGAACTGATTGTTAGACCTCCCCCATCTTTTGGATACTCTTCCAGAAGACAAGGAGTCTAGAAAATTCATTTAGAATTTAAGATATCCCAGACATAATATCTATACTCCATGGAATTTTTAATGTATTCTTCTTTTTTCAAGAATATATGGACAACTTCTGTGAGAAATGAATGAAATGATACTATTAATAATGTTTTATCTCATAACCCTCCAGATATACTATATACACGTCCACAGGGACGTAGAGTTCAAGAGAGGGCCAGATGGTATTTATTTTAGCCCCCAGCCCTGCCTCCCAAGAGAAATAGTCGTTATTATTAAATACAAATTTGCTATTGGTTTACCCCTAATTACTTCTTAAATAAAATTGCTCCCCGAAAATTCTTCAATATTTTGTTGAGGCTTCTGTAGTGTGGCTTAACTCATAATTTCTAAAGGTTAGTAGCCTTCCTCAGATAATGAAGGTACTTGCTATTCATCCACTTTGATTTATCTTTAGGTATGTTTTCAGACAGATTTACATGTACTAAAGTTATAAAACTTATGTTTATCATTTAGTAATAATGCAAAATGAAATTTAATTAACAAAGTACATTGGTTAGATTAATAGTTTTTTTCTTGAATTTTAGGTCTTGACCCCGCTGGGCCAAGATTCACTGGAAAACCTTCCTATAGCAGATTAGATTACACCGATGCGAAGTTTGTGGACGTCATCCACTCGGATGCTGATGGTAACTATGCAGGATTTGTTGCTTAATAATTTGAAAGTGAAAAAAGAAAATACAGACACTGAGGAAGAGCAGAACATAGCAGAAGAGAGTGTTGTGGATAAAAATGTCTTAAAATCTATGTATAATTATGCGTAATTAATGATAATACTTTCCACTGGCAATATTTCCTGGAGTTTGTGATTTCCGGCACTGACAAATGATGCTCTTTGTCTTGAAGTTGTTTCCTTTGGTTTCATGCAGTGTGTCTTCATCCTAAAATATTGAAATAGATAAACAGGAATTCATCTTGTTCATGTTACTAACAGTTTTATCAATTTGATCACATTTCCTTTGATATTTAATGTTCCTGATATATGTAGGTGTTGAGGTTAACAGTCTCTCCAGTTCGTTCCTTCCTTCCTTCCTTCCTTCCTTCCTTCCTTCCTTCCTTCCTTCCTTCCTCCCTTCCTCCCTTCCTCCCTTCCTCCTTCCTTCCTTCCTTCCTTCCTTCCTTCCTTCCTTCCTTCCTTCCTCCCTTCCTTCCTCCCTTCCCTTCCTCTTTCCCTCCTTCCCTTCCTCTGTCCTTCCCTCCCTTTCTTTCTTCCTTTCCTTCTTGACAGAGTTTCACTCTGTTTCATTCTGTCTCCTTGGTAGAGTGCCTTGGTGTCATAATCTCTCATAGCAACCTCAAATTCTTGGCCTCAAGCCATCCCCTTACCTCAACCTTTCAAGTAGTTGGGACTACAGGCACACTCCCTCTTGCTCAGACTAGTCTTGAACTCCTGAGCTCAGGTGTTCCACCTGCCTTAGCCTCCCAGAGCTCTAGGATTATACACTTCAGCCACCACACCTGGCCCTCCACTCATTTTCTTGCTTATATATCCACCAGAGGTGAGCGCAGCATTTCAGCCACAGATAAAGAGGAAGTTTCCCTACAGATAGACAAATAATTTCTCTATTTTTAAATATCTTACTTGAACATTCCTAACACTGTTTAGAGTTTTGTAAGACTACATTGAACAGACACTTCTGTAAGGAATAGATTGTCCTGGTGCTTTTCCTTATTTTACTCTGATAATACTAATATTTGTTAAATACTTCCCATACATTGGCAGTGTTTTAAGTGCTTTCTGTGATCTACTAAGACCCCGCCTCCCCCCACCATGAGATAGTTAATCATTAGAGCTCCTCTTCCACAGACAGGGAAACCAGAGGCACATTCTTTTGGTTTCAAATCACTTTCACAATAAATTTAAAAAGAAATGTTTAGCATCCTAATAAGGATATCCAGGCACATTTAAAGTAAAACCACATGAATGAGAAACAGGAGAAATAACAGTCAATAGACAAGAGCCATAGGCACCTAGATGTTGGAATCATTCTATACCTGCTATACAAAACGATTATTTTCAAAGAGTGGTCAATAATGTACCTTTGTTTACAAAGTATTCATTACAAAGTATTTATAAAATATTCTCCATATGTTGGCTACCTACTTGCAACATTTCATAATGAATATTTTGTAAATAAAAGGATATTTAGCTACAATTTTCCATTTTCTCTATGCATGGTGATCTTATAAGCAAATTTTATGACGTATATTAATACACCACAACTTACTTATTCATCCTCCTATTGGTGTATCTTTGTGCTGTTTCCAATTTGGGGCTGATAAGTGTTAATACTATGAACATCCTTGAACAGATATATTAGTGCATAGATGAAGGCATATCTGTTGGTTATGTACCCAGGAGTAGAATTTTGTTATAGAACGTGAATTTCTTCAATTTTAAGCAATAATGCTGAATAGTTTGTCAAAGTGGTTGTATGACATTCTTTCCAATAAATGGTCTTGGCATGCTTTTTAAATTTTAAGCAAGTGGTATTTTACTGGGGTTTTGATTTCTACTCTTCTTCTCACTAACTTTGAGAACTTTTCATATGTTTATTGCCTATTTGGAATATTTTTCTTTGTAAAATGTCTTCTGAAGTCTTGACTTTATAAAACTAGATTTCCCTTGCTTTATTATTGATCTATAGTGTTTTTTTAAATTAAATTACTTTTCTTCTGTTTTATTTTGGCTTGCTGTTCATATTTTCACAGTGTTTTCTGATGATATTCTGAATTTTAATGCAATCTAATGTTTTAAGATTTTCATTTGAGTTAGGGATTTTTGTTTCCTTTGCAAAGTAAATATTATTATTATTATTATTTGAGACAGAATCTCACTCTTTTGCCAGAGGCTAGAGTGCTATGACATCAACTTTGGTCACATCGACCTCCAACTCCTGGGTTCAAGCAATCCTCCTGGGACTACAGGCACCTGCCATAACACCCAGTTAACTTTTAAAAAAATTTTTTTTTTAGTAGAGAGAGGTCTCACTCTTGCTCAGGCTGGGCTAGAACTCCTGAGCTCAAGGGATCTTCCCGCCTCCATCTCCCAGTGTGCTAGGATTATAGGTGTCACCCATTGTACACAGCCTACTTTGGAAAATTATTTATTTTTTATTACAATGTTTTAAAAATTAAAAATGATGCTAATAAACATGTTTGTTTTTCTTCCACATTCATACACAGAATAAGAAAATAATTTTTGCATCTTATAAGAGTTAGAGATTTTTTATAATTTCAGTATCCAATTTACTGAAACACAACCACTTAATCTGATAGTAGTTGTGACTTCTTTGACCTTTCTGTTCTCTCTCCAAGATTTTATTAATTTTAGGTGATATGTAAAGTTCAAACATTCTACATTCCTTTCATTGTATGAAAAGAAGGAAAAAGTGGCATAAATCAATTTTAAAATAATAATTTTGTCTTTCCAAAGTGTAAATTTTGGCTTTCTTTTTTACCATGTGTATTCATATTTTTGTTCCATTAATGAAATTAATGAAAGCATTGCAATCTTACTCAGCACAAAAATTGTATGTCATACCATGGTCCTGAGCAGTCTCAGCTTGCTACCCCTTTTTACTCTTAATAGCTCCTCTGGTATTTTTACTGATTTATTATGTCTTTTCTACTATGAAAAGGATTTTTGCTTTCACTTACTTATTCAGTTGTAGCACAAAAACTGTGACTGACCTATAGTAAACTGGTGACTGGTCAATATGTAAAAGTAATGAAATATAATTTTACCAAAGAATTAATTTGAAAACTTAATACTAGAAAACTCATCTTTTGAAAAATGGTGTTTATTTTATTTTGAATTCAAATTTTTAAAGAGTCACTTTCAATGGATTTTATAGGAGATTCTGTTTTGTACAAGTTAATGGCCTAATTATATAAATTTTGGGATTCTTATGTGCTTTTCTTCTCAGGTTTAGGCATCAAAGAGCCTTTGGGACATATAGATTTTTATCCAAATGGAGGAAAAAAGCAACCTGGATGTCCTAAAACAATTTTTTCAGGTATACAACAATATTTTAGAATGAATCATATGCAAATAGTTTGATTTCATCACCCTTGTCCATGATGAAGGAGTGTTATTGATGCTAAATTGTTTAATTTGACACTGCTTCATCCATAAATGTAACCAGCAGGCAGCCCAGTTGGTCATGGATGAGACCTACTATGTTATAGTTTCAATTCATTATTGTAAACATTCAAAGGAATTATAAATTATTGAGGAAGCACAATATCTCATAACACAAGTTTGATCTCAGGGTTAAAGCTTTACCCTCACATTATTACTTTACAAAAACAAAACTTAGAGACTTGACATTTCCTTGTCGTGTACATAGGGAGAACCGAGCAGCTCCTCCAGCAGTATAATATAGATCATTTCAGAACTGTAGAAAAAAGAAGATAGGCGTGTGGCCTATAGATATATGAAAAAAATGCTCACCATTTTTAATCATTAGAGAAATGCAAATGTAAATCAAAACTACTTTGAGATATCACCTAACTCCAGTAAGATTAGCCCATATCACAAAATCCCAAAACCAGAGTTGCTGGCATGGATGTGGAGAAAAGGGAACACTTATACACTGCTGGTAGGAATGCAAACTAATATGTTCCTTTTGGAAAGACATCTGGAGAACATTTAGAG